CTCATTTTCAATTTATCACTTCTTACTGCCTGTATACTCAATTCGATTGCTAGTTTCCTTGTAGTGTGACTGCTGATAATAATAACCCAACACAAAAAAATCCTAAAGTTTCACTATAATAGTGACCACGAATCCTTGTATGTTATCACAGTACAGCGTTTATACAATTTATTCACAATAATCGATTATAAGTTGTAATAAATGAAGCTAGTGCAGTCAGACAATATCAAAATTGTTAAAAGATAGTGTACTCACTACCCAATCAAGAACAGATAATATTGATTTAAAACCAAAAATGAAGAAAAATAAGAATATTTTCAATGTAAAACGTATGTGTTTTGTACTTTAGTCAGTGGCAATACGATAGTCGATAGTCAAACTTGTCTCTAAAGAATGAGCTTTCTAAGTTTGGTGCCGCACCAAACAGACAAAATTTGAAGGAAGTAGTTTTCTCATGTGGGCGTCTATTGCACCCACCGAGTCCTGTGTTATCTATCTGCCTTCAGATTGCCCGAGCTAGACCTACTAAAATCCTCAGGTCAATCACTTTCCCAAAAAACGATTTGGATTTCAATCCACACAAACCAGTGCCAAACTCTTGTTCAATTTAAGTTAAGTATCGCGAATATCGGTGTTTAAACCTGTTTTGTTTTAGTCTGGTCTTTTATAAAAGGCAAGTTACCAGTGCAGTCACTGGTTCCTAGCATGTCTCCTAATAAGCTAATACCTTTTATTATTTACTTTCTTATGTCCACTTAAGTTTTGACAAAATAGTACCCCTCCGGATTGGTAAAAACAGGACCCCTCCGGATTGGCAAAACTTGGACCCCTCCGGATTGGCAAAAACAGGACACCTCCGGATTGGCAAAATTTGGACCCCTCCGGATTGGCAAAATTTGGACCCCTCCGGATTGGCAAAATTTGGACCCCTCCGGATTGGCAAAAACAGGACCCCTCCGGATTGGCAAAAACAGGACCCCTCCGGATTGGAAAAATTGGGACCCCTCCGGATTGGCAAAATTTGGACCCCTTCGGATTGGCAAAAACAGCTTTTCCGGGACTTTTAAACATTTCACCCTATACCCTTCCGGATACGTTTTCCGATGCTAGTATGCTGTAGGAACTAACTAGGAAGCGTGTATTTTCTGTCCCTAGACCCTTCCGGATTGAAGCTAAGCCTCTTATTTGACAATTCACCGTAACTGTGAAGTCTTATAACTAGCCTTATTTCGATTCGATTATGGTTTTCTGGTTTCCTTAGCCTTCCTTTTTTGTCTAGAACAGCGTAAAATTGCCTTATTCAACCGTGACTACCCTTTGGTAGGGGTATAAGGGCTTTCCAAAAAAAATTTATAAAAGGTGAAGGGTCTACCTTCCCGAATTAGTGAGTTCGCTAAAAACAATCTTAAAAAATTTTCACGCTTACTTTTTTGAATAACTGAAGATTTTGTTAGTAAGCTTACCTAAAAAATTTTCTCTCTTATAGGTTCCTTCTAACTTTTTTCATAATTCTGATCTTTTTGACCTAAAAATTATTGATCTGAGCTCAAAAGGCCTATACTCGTCTAGTTCAATGCAAAAAACCCAATTTAAAATGTTCCAGCTGAAAAAATTTGCCAAAAACAATGCTATTTGGACCCTTCCGGATTGATGAATCCACTAAATCAATCACGTTAAGTTCGATTTCACTGTAACCCGGAAAGTTATCGGTAAACGGGTTTTAAAACTTGTCGATTCAAAAATCGAGAAAATTCGGTTTTGGTACCCAATTAGTTCCAACCACTTCTGAACTGAACTAAACCGGTTCTACCTATTATACTAGCACAATTACGATGTGACGCACTAATTTTGTGTTTTTTCCGTTCCAAAAAATATCGATGCTCAAAACTCGCGATTTGTGGGGGGTCAAAATATCGCTATAGGAGTATTAGTAGAGGCTGTATAAATAGTAATGCTAGTAATTTTATACCCCTCCGGGTTTGTTCAATTATCGAATTAAGGTGCTTAACTCGGAAAATCGCAGTTCGGTGATGGGTCACTACAGTGCAGTCACTGTCGAGCCCCCCCACAGATTATTATCCTACTTTTTGTACCAAAGTGGATACAAAACTTCTTAACGATACCCAACAGTCGATTGTTGTTGTCCTTGAGCTCCTTCTTGTCGCTACTTGCACTGCTTGCCGGATCAGTCTTCTTCTCTAATCTCGAGACAGCAAATTAGCATTAGAGTGCTTAAATACTCAAATAACCCTACAGTACAAGCACCAAAAATGGGCCACAAATTTGATCGTAACGATCCTGACTGATATGAATGCCTGTAACAACAATATTGTCGGATCACATCTCGTCTGGGGGGATGATTTCTACTGATTTTATACTTTTTTCTTTTACTGTTTTTGGTTTTTCGGTTATTTATTTTTTTTGGTTTTTTCTTAGGTATTATACTACTTTTTGTTAGATTTCCTGTATATCTTTAAGTGCTTTTGGTCACAAACCTCTCAGGAAACAACGGGACGGCCAATCCCCCCACCCTTCCTGGTACGTAAATTTTCGGCCTTAACTAGGTTAAAAAACTATTCACGGGAATCCGGAAGGCTTCTGCGTTCCAAACTACCATTCCACCCCGGTGGTTAGGGCCTGGTTATGAGCAACCGCTCGGCGAGGAGTGCTCGTTAACGGTTCTGCTGGTCATAATGTTAAAAAGAAAAGCATCCAGGGGCGCCATAAAAACATCTATGTAACTTTCGCCCGGAAGTACATAACATTCGAATGCGACGGAAAGTAAAGCTAGGTTCTAAAACGACTGGCTAGCGTCTAAACACAGCTTTACATGCTTTTTACCGTCTCTGCCAAAGCCAGTTTTTTTGGTGATCTTTCTAACATCGGGTCGACAAAAAACGTTACTGTTTCCGGCATTGATCAGAACGCTCTGATTAACTCGATTATTTGCAAAATAGTGAGCTCATGGCTGAGTCTCAGTATCCCCAGACCACGAGGACACTCCTAAAAACAGGGCTACTACTTATATATTATATTACTGTTGTTTTTGTTCAGTAGATAAAAATCATCATCTCCATCGAAGGTTGATCAACCCTTTCCCCAATTCCTAGCTTCTCGTTCTCTGAAAACGAATTGGTTTTAATCAAATTCAACTCAAGACACTCCGGGAAGCTAAAAGTTGTTAAAATAACGAGTTACAGTTCTCTCCCGAGCCCCCTCCGGATTCTGGAATCTGAAGAAATAACGCTCTTATTTCTTCTCGGAAGGCTGGACACGTCGTCCCAACACCCTTCCTGGTTCTTGTGAACTGCTCTGTAACGATTGTAGCGGCACAATCGTTACAACTCGGGGTGGTTTTTGACAATTTCTAATCACTATCTCAATCTTCTGACATTTTTTCGTTTTTGTATTCACTGAGAATTCTGTTGTTCTCTCCTTCTGATCTCGCAGTTCCAGTGTGTGCGAAATAATAAAAGGTACGTGTCTTTCACGTGCCAATCGAAAATTTGAAAATTAGCATTTCAATCAAAACTAACCCTTCACCGAGATGTTCCGATAAAATTTCGAACGCGAAATTGCATTTTGATTATTCTGGTCGAATAATAATAATAATAAAAATAATAATAATAATAATACAGAATTTAGAGAGTCTCAACGGTTTTCACCCAATTTTCAGTTCATCTTCGGTTCAGTTTTTTTTACTGAGAGGATTGCAGATGCCACATCTGCATATTACTCTCCAAGTACATTTGTTTTTTTCAGTGTATTGTTTAGTGAAAAAGTTCCAGTAAAAGTTCTGAATAGTAGCTTTATTTAGAAATTGCCCGAAACTTTCATAAACACAAATAACGTAGTTGTAGAGTAGTTGCGTCCTTCGAAAGAAGTTTTCGTTGGTTTTATTTAGTCGCGGTTTCGATAACTTGAATTCACCTCGATTGCTCTGTCGAGTAGTATCTTATATTGTCTCATTTTCAATTGAATTTTCAACCTCAAAAGCACCTGTTTTAATAGATAAAAGCATTGAGAGATTATGCATTTCAACATACAGGCTTAACGGAAGAATATGCAATTTAATTAACCGATTTCGATAGCTTAAGTCAGAACCTACTATCCATTTTGTTGCATGTTGTTGAACTTTTTCGAATTCAGTTAAATTTCCGTTATTTGGCAACCAGGTCTGAGAAGCATATACAGCAATTTGGACAACGTATCCAGCGTATACATTTAATTTGATTCTCCAGTTACAATTTGATGTTAGAATTCGCTTTATTTGGAATAAGGCGAACATTGCTTTGTTCGATCTGCGTTTGCAATTTTCATTCCAACTTAGGTTTTGCTGCACTATGATCCCTAGGTCACGTTGCGACTGTACGGGGATGAGTTTTGCATTGCATAAGTGTGCTTCAAGGTTTCCTTTGATGTTAAGAGTATGCGACTTTTTTGTGTTTGGTAGCATCATATTTGTATTAAGCTAGGCTTGGATCTTATCGGTCGCTTTGTTCATCGCTACTTGATTTGTTACGATTACTTTGAAATCATCAGCATACCCGAAACTGTCCATATCGGACATACACACTGGAAGACTATTAATAAATAGCAGAAAGAGGAGGGGACCCAGAATTGATCCTTGGGGAACACCGCTGGTTACATTTTTAGGGTTGATTTTGCGACGCTTATTTGCACGTATTGCTTGCCTTGGTTTAAGTATGACTTTAGAAGTCCTATGATGTTTCCACCAATTCCAAGAGACCTTAATTTGCTAACTAGCACACTAGGCGGTACTGTGTCGAACGCTTTAGCAAAGTCGAGATAAAATACACTTAACTCATTGACAGATTCTAGATCATTGCTTTCGTATATTTTGTCGAGAAAGTATATTAGTTGCAGTGTAGCTGATCGTCTTTTTCTGAAGCCGAATGTCATAGGTCCAGACCAAAAATTTGTTTGTTGAGTTAAAACTTACTTATTTCAAAATTCTCGAATTAAATTCAACTACCCAGTCAATTCTAGAGTTGCTTTATAGTTAAGTTACTCGATTCTAGAGGTCGTGTCGATATGTGAGTACCCAATTTAATTTTCTTGAGTGTGTTTTATAGTGTTATGTTGATGGGGGGAAGAGATTTTAGGTTGATCCGTCTGAAATGGTTCAAAGGTCCACTGTCTAAAAAAAAGTAACTATACCTAAGTTTCCGACCCTGTTTTTGGCGTTCGAGTATTTTGGGTATTTAGAGACCTGAATATGGGGCGTTCTTATTTTCTAGAGTGGGGGGTATCTTGGTAGTGGCCTTTAAGCTGTAACGCGGGTTTTAGTCTCATGTCGCAAGTGAACCGAATTGGCTCCGACGGCTTGAGGTAGAAAAACAGAAGAGAGTGTCCCTGACACTTGAGCCAATGGTTATAGAGCCTATTTTTCTTTAACCTCATATGTGACTTATACGTCTGCGAGCGTACTCGACACAATGAATGGCGAAACAACAATCGACGAATTTTTCTTTGTAACACGATACTTTGTTTTTTTTTGTTCTCGTGCCGAGTTACGTGTTCTTATCGAAGAAACGTAACCCGTATCGAGTTCAATTTCTTGACGGATCAACCTAAAATCTCTTCCCCCCATCAACATAACACTATAAAACACACTCAAGAAAATTAAATTGGGTACTCACATATCGACACGACCTCTAGAATCGAGTAACCATAAGAATTTTCTAGATATGGAAATGATAAGGAGAAAAAAAGGATTAGTGTTGATGTGTTGACTTGTTTAGTCAACTTCTCGGCACAGGGGTGCTCATTATTCCAGCTACAAAACGACTACTCTCCAAGAGCAAGCAAAACAACCCGGAGCAGCTCAAGGAATATTTGAAGCTGCACCAGAGTGCTGATTTGGAGCTGAAATCTCTGCGATTGGTAGTGGCACACAAAGAAAGGCTGTCAGAGCTGATTGGCAATATCAGGGGCAAACAACAGAGACCGTCACAGACAAGGAGGAAGGCGAAAGCAAGACGTGAGCAGAAGCTGAGGGCAGAGGAAGTGTCTGCGCTTCAAAGACAGGGGTGAGAAGAGTGTGATTTGTTTTGCTTTGTGCCTTGTGAGTTTCATTACTCGTGGCCTGCAAAACAATGACCACAGTACTTTTGCCTGCTGTTTGGCTCAGACAAATTTTGAAAAGGAAACTAACTTGGAAAATTGTGTTAGACTATTTAAAATTCTTTAAAAAAGTTCAAGTATCTGTACATAGACTGAAGTTTCTGAGAAAATGTCTGAAAAACGATCTAATACCGGACTTTTTGAAGTTTAGGGTCCCCGAGAACGGGGTTTTTTCGGACCAAGCTGTGCATAATTTTCAATTGAAACTACTAAGGACTGAAACTTCTAGGGCAAATGAGGATAGGAAAAGGTACGAGGAGATGCTAAGGAAAGCGAGATCACTGGTGCAAAAAGAAATTGACAAACAGTGGTGGGCATCCATTTTCCGATTCGTGAGGCGGCAAGTTGAGGCAAGCTTAAAGACAACATCAGAAAACCATAGAAAAAAGTTAGAAAAACTGTCCGAGAGACAAGATAAACCTCTTGGGGGGAGAAATGAGCGATCAGTTAGGGTACTTGATAATATTGAACTGCCTGAATGGGTATATGAAGTGCTATCAATGGGCCCCAAGCATCCAATTAGAGACAAATTTAACGAAACACATTTTTTGGCGGATATCGACATTTTCCTCTCACAATTGAAAAATCAAAAAACATCTGGTGAAACGTTATGTGAAATAGAAGCCGCGGCAAAGGCATATGCAAAAAACGTACGGCAAACCCCAAGAGACAAAGCCGTTGAAAAAACGAGGAAATATCTCAAAGATAATGGGTTGCTGGCTGTGCCTTTTGATAAGGGGGTTGGTTTTTGCATAATGAGGAAACAAACATATGAATCAAAGCTGGAATCCTTGTTGCAATCTGCTCAGTTTGTGAAAAAAGATGCAACCACTGATGAGGTGATACTGAAAATTGAGAAAGAACTTAACAAAGAGTTACTAGCCATGAACAAAAGAGACGAGATAAGTGATCAGTTATATTCTAAGATACGATCAACAGGGGGGCAACCCGCCCGTTTGTACGGTTTAGCTAAGGTACACAAGGATGAGACACCCCTACGACCTGTACTATCACTTCCCGGCAGCTCGTATGAGAATCTTAACAAAATGCTTGCGAAGTTTTTTGACAACATCGATGGAGCAAATATAGAAACCAATACTAAAGAGGCTAGAGAAAAAATAGAAAACATTGCTCTAGATCCGGATGAAACCATAATATCTCTTGATGTGAAAAGTTTGTACACCAACGTTCCCCTGAAGGAGGCAATTGAAATTGCTTTACAGAAGCTGTACAGCCAGGAGTCTCCTCCTGAAATTCAAAGAGCAACCATGAAAAGGCTTTTGAATATGGCGGTCAGCAAAGTATATTTCAAGTGTAATGATTCATGGTATGTACAAGTTGATGGTTTAGCAATGGGAGCGTCCCTCGCTGTAATTCTGGCAAACTTATGGCTGAAAGAATACGAATTTGCTCTACGACAACAAATACCGGTGGGAACGGGGGTACAGCAAATTAATGACAAAAACGGCTTGTGCCCATGTTGCAGCAGGAAAGTCACATATAGATCAAAGGGGGTTGAATGCGAGAGTTGCCGAAACTGGTATCATCTAAAATGCGGAAAAATATCCGATGACGTATACGCATCAATAACCGAGATAGTCTGGTACTGTGAAAGCTGCTGCCGAGCTAAGAACAAGGAGAAGGATACTCCCCAGGTGAAATTGTTCCTCAGGATATATCGCAGGATAGGCGTGTAACTTGCAGTTGGTATCAAAAACCAACAGATACAGGGACTATACTGAACTATAGAAGCTGCGCCCCAACTCAGTATAAGCGTAGTGTTATCCAAGGCACTGTACACAGGGTTTTTAGGAGTACATCTAGCTGGGAGCAATTTGATAAGGCTATAGAAACTAATAGGGCGCAATGGCTGACAAATCAGTACCCTGAAAATTGGTCCGCAAAGGTGGCTTCAGACGCCTTGTGCAAGATCATCGAGGGTAAAGGCAAGCCCCTGGATAGTGACAGGGGTTTGTCAGTTCAATCACCAAAGGATGAAAAGCCCCCAATGCTGATGGTGCAATATAGAGGTAACCAGAGCCAATATTTTGCTAACAGGTTACGAAAATTAACGAACGTTCAAGTGGTTTTCACCACAAGAAAACTACAATCATGTTTACCATCACTGAAGTCAGCATTTTCTAATGACCTCAAGTCAAGAGTGGTTTATAAACTGTCATGTAGTGGATGCACTTCCACCTATGTCGGACAAACTGTTCGACATTTGACCACTAGAATTGAGGAACATAGGAAAGCAGACTCACCGGTAGGCCTCCACCTTCAGCAATGCCAACTTGAGGGAAATAGCGCAGATCTTAGTTGGGAAATTATAGATAGGTCAAACAACCAAACAAAATTGCTAACACTAGAGGCAATACATATCAGGAAAGAGAAACCGGGCTTGAACACGCGCGATGAGTTTAGGAGCAGGGAGTTAACACTGAAAATTTAGTCCCAAAATATTTTTGGTTTTTTATTCAAAACGTACATGTCTAAATCGAAATTATGACTCAGAAACTTCCAGACAAATTTAATTTTAAAATGTTTAATTAATTTTAGAGGTTAAAAGTATTTTAATCTTAATAGTAATTTAGAGGTCAACTGTGATTGGCTAATTTTTTATCATGATGGTTTAGAACCAAATTGTATGTGATTTATTGTAAATAACATTTGTAAATTGATGTTTTATCGTCATTTAGAGTAGTTTATTGTAAAAATCCTGACGATGCACATAGTTGCGAAAACGTTTGAAATTTACTTTTTAGCAAAAATTTCTTCAAAATTCTTATGATTTCGACTGGAATATAAAAAAAAATTACTCCTGACTGTAACCACGCTGGTTTCTATGATACTTTTGACCTGATTACCCTAATATACGTCTTTTTTATCAGGTTTTCGTTTTCCTCTGGATTAGTTTTCTCGAATAATGCGTTTTTTAGTGTAAAATGATACCACCCATCAATCTCATTGGCTTCGCACCTCAAAACCATTTTGCTGGCAGTAATGTTTGGTAGCCATATGAACTATCGACTGTCACAAGATCAAATGACTGCTTTTGACTCTGCGTCTGAGGAGGGAAATTCCTTTAACGAATATCACCGAGAGCATAAGCATAGCATCACCATGACTAATAACGGTCCTCCTGTTCCACCGAGAAGCAAGCCACCTACTCCGCCTCCGTACAATACTGCTGTGAAGCGTGGTATTTCACCTGTGCAGGGAGTTGAGAATGGTCCAAAATGTGAAGGGTTGTGCAGTTGTCCATACTGTCCTGTTAAAAACGGAATACCAATGGATTATTATTCGGCCATGATGGTCAGTTTAACGAATGATCTCATGTTTTGTCCTGTATCAAAACAGGCACGAGAAGATTTTGGAATAAATAGCTCAGCCAGCAACAGTCCAAGGAATAGTGGACTTTTCCGATGTGATAGTAAGTATACTGTATACTACTTTTTAATTAGTGCTTTTTGATACTTTTATAATTAAGAGTTTCTCAAAATTGTTTTTCAATTTTTTTTTCGAAATTATTTGTTTAGATTCGCAGAAGTAGTTTGGTATATTTCTGTATAAAAAACTTAATTATAGAAATGGTCCCTGCGTTTAAATCTTGATTAATAACAATCACCGGGCCAACACATGTGAAAACGAGATAATCATCGACGGAGTCTGCGAAGACAACGGTCAGTTTACATCCAATATAGAGGCCGAAGAAGCCAAAGTGGCCGAAATTTTTGATCATATAGGCGAAGAAAATCTCAGTATCTGCCAAATGTATAGACTTGGTAAAGCTAATCCCCAACAACGAAGACCGCGTCCTTTACTTGTTCGTCTGTCATCCGAATGGAATGCTAGAAAATGCCTAGCAAAATCTTACAAACTGAAGAATTTCAAAGAAAAGATTTTCATATCGAAGTCCCTAAACCAAGAAGAACAGATTCTGAAACGTAAAATCTTCAAGAAACGGTACGACATGATTAACAATGAAAAAGTTCCACGCGATGAGCTAAAAATTCGTGGTCTGACCCTCGAACGAAATGGTATCAAGATCAATCTTGACTGACTACAATCAAAATTATGCCTTATCAACGCACAAAGTCTCTTGAGCCTAAATCAGCGTCTGAAGTTAATCAATTTTCTTTCTTTACATTCTCCTGATATCGTGTTCATTACTGAAACATGGCTTAAACCAGAAATTACTGTATATTCTTTCAATATATTCGGGTGCAGTTAATCATATTTTCCTCCTTATTTACAACCCCCCCCCCCCCGCTTCGTCGCAGTTTCGGATACCTGCCAAAATGCTTACTGATTCAATACGTTATTTTAACTCCAAATTGATTAATGGTTCTAGTTCGTACACAATCTTAGGTGACCTAAATCTGCCTGATATCTGTTGGGCATCTTCTGATGGAGGCTGTGATTACTCAAAACTGTTCCTAGAGGTTATTGAGGATCATAGCTTAATGCCCCTTGTATATGAACCCACACATCGCTCAGGCAACACTCTTGATATCATTTTAACTTCGCACACAGAATTGTTCACTGCATTTGTAAATGAAGTGCTTTACTCAGACCATTTTCCTTTATTTGCTTTTTTTTACCATTCCTGAAGCAGCGCCTACTGTAATTGGGAATTTTATGAAATCCTCTCTATCTAAATCATCTTTCTCTCATTCGATCTTCAATAGTAACATCAGCCCTTGCTTTACCAAACTCATTGTGGAACAAAACTCATGTTATTCCATATCCACCACTAATGATTATGTAGATAGCTGGTACGCTCAGATCAATCATGCAATTCTTTTATCATGCGCACATAAAACTAAAAGACGCCAGCAACTTCCCTATTATTATTCGTCGCATACAGTTCATTTACTGAATAAGCACCATTCCATATCTAAACGGACAGCCAACACAAATCATTTAGCTTCGATCCAACAAGACCTTAACAATTCAATCGAGTTGGATAAAACTTGTCTCCTTGAATCTTTAAGACCAAATTCTACCCGTGATTGCTTTAAATACCTTCGAACTTTTACCAAAAGGAAACTACCAAACCAAATGCACTGGATGAATAGAAAAGCATCCACTTCTATTGAAATAGCCATTCTTTTGAACGATTACTTCTGTTCAGTGTTTCTAGAAAAGCACGAAATTCAAATCCTACAACCCGAAAAACGCATCATTTTTCTATCCGATCTTCATGTCAACCTTAAAAAGGTCGAGAAAGCTCTCGAATTTGCTAAAACTTCTTGTATTACCAACGACCGCCTCCCAACCTTTATTCTTAACTGCTGCAGTGAATTAATATCTCCTCTAGTCGTGCAGCTCTTTGTCAAGGTTTTGGAAATTAAAACGTGGCCAGAACTTTGGAAATGTGCGCTTATTACGCCAATTCTTAAATCTAGTAATCCCGAAAATGTTGAAAATTATCGCCCGATTAGCATATTGCCTTAATTATCGATTATTCTGGAGAGAATGATCTTCGATTTCATTTATCCTAAAATTCGGGCTAAAGTTACACCTGCTCAACATGGTTTTATGACCAAGCGATCGACTGTTACTCAGCTTCTTGAATAACTAGATCAGATGTTTAACGACGTCGAAGCAAAAAACGAATGTCTTTCTGTGTACTTCGATTTTCGCAAGGCTTTTGATCAAGTTCCTCATCATATACTTTTTTCGAAACTTGGTAATTTAGGCTTCGACATTAGCTTTCTTGAACTTTTTGCTTCCTATCTCACAAACCGCACGCAAATTGTCTTAATTAACAATGAAGCATCTCCAAAAGGCCATGTAACAAGTGGTGTTCCGCAAGGAAGTGTACTCGGCCCTTTGCTATTTATACTCTTCATTAATGACATGCCAGCTGTCTTGAAAACCTCTAATTGCTTTCTGTTTGCTGATGACAGCAAACTCTATTTAAAATATGACTTTTCCTCAGTTCAAATAGACATTGATCTATTTATCAATTGGACGCTTGAAAACGAAATGACATTTAATTCTGATAAGTGCAAAGTTATTTGTTTTAACTCAACTTCCCCCAAATCTACTCTTTGCCTTAATGATTACCTAATTCCGTCAGTTTCATCTATCAAAGATCTCGGAGTAACGATATCTAGTGATTTAAAGTGGGATATCCACATTAAAACCAAACTGGTCGCAGTTAACAAAGCTTTCCATTTCTTAAAACGTTCAATCCCTTATGGAGTATCCATGAGAACCAAATTCAAATATTACCAGCTATGTATTATGAGTATTTTATTATACGGTAGTCAGGTCTGGTTTCCATCTTTAACATATCGCCGCAAACTAGAATTTTTTAACAGAAAATGTTTGAAATGGGTAACGGGAGTGAACGACTATACAGAAGAACTTAGAAAAACGAATTCCTTGCCAATTTCCTTCACTATAGCTTTACATGATATGTGTTTTCTTAATCGAGTCCTGACTGATCAATTTGATTTCGACCTTTACATATACATAAATTTTACCTTTGCAGCCAAAGACCTTCGCAATAGCTCACGCCCTAAGCTTTCAACAACCCAGAATTGTCGACTCTTCCTTACAGAGCAATTTTTCTTCTATCGCGTCTATCGGTATGCCAACATGATTTCAGCAAAC